AAAAAAAAAAAAAAATTAAAAATCTTTACATACAGAAAATAACCCAGAAAACTAATCTGAAAATCCACACGTTTAAAGGGAAAATGTTGCTTAATGTTTGTAATTAACTTTTTACATAATTACAGAACAATAATATTTTGCTAGCAAGTCCAGTCCTTAAGAAAAATTAAGTCAATGGAAAGAATAAAATTCTTTTGCTCATTTAAAAAGTTGAGAGCGGGAAAAATGGAAAGGAATGTGAAATGGAGTATCTATTACATTTGTTTAAAGCACAATTAATAGTTATTTAAGTGAGTTCCAGGAATTTGGAGAGTAAATACATGACTCCAGAATCTATTCATGCTAGTATTTTCATTCAACCAATTAAGATGTGCAGGAGATTGGGATTAGACAAAGTAGTACACCGCTCTCCAGTATCTGCATTGGAACAGATTTTGCAAAAGGCAAGAAGTTATCCAGCAATTACTTAAATCATGGTGCTGCATAACCTACTATGTCCTGTATAGTTGGATGTATTGCTACATTTTGTAAGACATGAGATAAAATAGACCAGAGTCATATTTTCTTTAGACAGTAAAAAGCATTGCCTGGTCTCTCTGTTTCAGTGTAAAACCACAGTACCTCATGCAGCTTATGCTGTCATATAGAAAATTACTTGTTTCTGCTCATCTGTTCCTTAGGGAACATCTGGTCTCTGTATTTACCTCCAGATACTCGAGTACTCGAGTTTTCTTGTATGTGATCTTTCAGTAGTGCTGCTTCACATATGTTTTCTAGAGTATATTTATTACTGAATTCATAGAGCACTTGATGTGCAACCCATTTGGAAATCATAGAATAATAAATCTAAGCTTTCTTTCTTCCTACTCAATTTCAAATAGTTTTGCTGTGTCTGTCTTTAATCAGATGTTCAAAAGCATATTTGTATGACCACATACACGTATGTATACGTATATTCAGAACACTGCAGAGCACTGGTAAATGGTATGCTATTTTGCTGTAGTTATAACTCAGAAAAGGTGCTTTGAACTTTTCTAATAGGAAGTGCAGACAATTGTGGGAAAGTGTGGACAACATTTAATGAATTGTTATGCTTGATGTCATGTCTTAGATGTCTAGGTATCTGCCTGAGCGTCTGTATTAATGGCTTTTCTGAAATAATTTATCTATTTGCAGTTCAGTTTAACGTAACGAAGCAAAGAAGTATGAAATTGTCATTAATACTTCTCGTAAGTAGTTAGGCAGATAGTTAAAGGACTCTGTATTGTCCTCCTGCTAGAAGTGATCAGTTTTACATGAGATGCAGTAGCGGTGTATTGTGCAGGAAAAAGTAAAATAGGGTCACTGAAGCCATTTCATTTTGTGTTGGAAAGAAATAGTGGTTGCCTGGTTGGTTGTTTACTTATTGTGTCTCAGCTGATGTGCAGAAACTTCCAGATACGGAAGACATGCTAGCTGGATCATTTGTAATAAGAGAAGCATTCCATGAACATGTTTATGGATCTATGCAGAAGCAGAATAGGTAGTCTTTTTTAAGGGCAGTGTTTTTCAACCACAGCTGATGCAGATCAGGAAGCTACTGCCTCCTTTTGCTGACTACCAGGCAATCCCACCCCATCCTATAGCGGGATGTTACCAGTCCCTGTCATCTGCTGGTGTAAATAAATTCTGTATAGAAAAGCAGCAAAGCAATGCCATTCTTTCAAAATTACTCTGATAAAATCACTCATAACATATATTCTTTACATTAAACTAGACCATTTTAATAGAACAGAGAGTTAGGGAGTCACTGCGTATGCATCAGGTAAAGGTGGTAAAATGTCTGTAGGAGATCAGCTACTCTGGAACAATAATTCTGTCTGTGTCATCTGACACCAACAGACTTTACAAAGTATGTTTAAACAGCAGCTTTGATGAGAGACACTTCAGAATTTGACTTAAAATGAGCAATTTTGAGGAGCCTGAATCCTGAAATAACTTTGAGGACCTGGGTCAGTATTCCTGAAATACTTACCTGACATAGCACCTATGCAGCAGACTGAAGAAAGACTCCTTACCTCAGCCCTGCAGTCACCCAGTCCATTAATTGTGGATTAATTGTTCTAGACTTCTGAAAACTAGATGAGGCCAAACCCTATGGCATTAGGAGGACCATCAATTTCTGTTTAAACTAATTGTAATAGAATATTTAGCATTTTGAAAAGCAGTGAACTACTGTGTGCCACTGAAACAAGTTTTACATTTCAAGTCCAGTGTCATTTGTATTATACTTCAGTTTTATCAGTTCTGGTCAGTTAATATACTGGTAGTAGAACAAGTGAATTATTAACCTAGAAAAAAATAAGCAATTAAGGTAAGTTTAATAGTTATCCTGATTGTCATCATTCATAGAGTATAAGAATAATACGCACTGTTAGTAATAAGTTTTCAAATCATATAATCTAAAATACGCTTCTGCTGCAGGTCATGGGATAACAGCAGTAAAGGAAAAAGCAGGAACTACCCTAGGAATTCATAATGCAAGTTCATCATCTTCAGAAACAGCAGAGCCTCCTGCAGCTGAAACACCAGTTATACGTAAGTTCAAGTTTACTGAAATTGGACAAAACTCCTGACACTGCCAAATTAGTCCAATTTACAAAATTTTAAGATTTTGATCACAGAATCCAGTTCACTGTAATTTGTGACTTGTAGAGTTGAAAGTATGCTGTAGCTTGCTTTTTTTTCTTTTGTTAAAAGCAGAAGATTCTCTGGACCAAAGCTCTTCTGAGAATATTCCTTCTTCTCCTTCATCTGGATCTCGTGGCGTGTTGTCAGCTATCACTAATGCTGTACAGAACACAGTGAGTCATTTTAACGGGCTTCTCTGCTCTAGTTGTTCTTCACCATTTTTAGATGCAACTTCACTATAGGTCACACCTAACAGGTGGAGTTTGTTAAGTTGTAGGTCTTTGTAAAAACAATTCTGTTGTAAGTCTGTTTAGAGTCTCTTCCATGGCAAAATAACTGTATCAGATTTATAACAAAAAGTCAAACACAACTAAGTCAGTTACTACTATGGCACCAGTTTCAGTGAAAAATATGGTCTTCTTCAAAACTATATAGAATTCTGCAGATTCTTGGGAAATCTTTTTTATAGTTGTGGGACCATCATCTAATTTTTTTACAGTTAAGTCCTTCCTTGTTATCATTATTGAAGGCAGATAAAATAAGAAAATACTCCATTTGCTTATTTTAAGGCTTTTACTAAAGTCTGTGTTGTTAGTCCCTTGCCCTTCACCTCTCTGTCTAGTCTCTCATTTCATAATTAGCCTCCCCAGAAGGTGGTCTGATTGCAGACTCAGTGAGGCAAAATCTTTTGTTCACAGTTCTTTCCTATATATATTTTTTGTGTGTTGCACTTAATCCTTTTCTGGTTTTCTGTGTTTCAACTTTTTCAAAATCCTGTACAATACTGTTTCCAAATCAATTTTTGTGTCATCTTCTTCCCCAACATCTTTTACATACTATTACCATAGCAAGTGTTTTCCTTGGAGGTTTTTGGTATGGTGTTTCCCTTGAAATTATGAAAGACTTTAAGCATCAGCTAAAAAAGCATAGAAGACTAACTCACTGTTGAGCATGTTTTACGAAGTGGCAATTCTTTTTTAGTGCATGTCCACTTCACTCTGAGTGCCTCATCACTAACATCAAAGATTTTGGGAGCAGAGGGAGATTCCTATAGACTATTCCTAAGACTGTTGCTACAGAATCTGGAGCATCGTAAGGTTTGTGAGAGCTGGATACCAGTAAGATAACCTGAGCATTGTGTAAGATCTTCAAATAAGAGAAATGTGCTCTTATGCAAACCTAGAGGGACTACTATACCACAGTGATGAGTGTCACCAAACAGAAAGAATAACAAGGTCTCAGTAAGTTGCCTATAATGCCATTTGAGACTTTGGTAGGGTTTTCCATTCTATATCAAGTTACATCAGCATGTGAGTATCTGACAGATGCATAATCCAGATTGAAATGGAAATCTTTAGCCAGTGAAAGTTCTTATTCAGAGTACATGAAAAATTGTGGACGAGGGCTAATGCTAGTATAAAGGCACAGAAAAAACAACTGTATTTTGATAGACAGTTCCAGAGTCATCACAAGTGTCAAAATTCTAGAAGTCAGTTAGGTAAGGCAGGGTCATCCTGTTCATGATGGACTTTGGCTCCATATTATTCACATCTAAAATATGTTCCCACAGACTAGATGCCACTTTGGATAAAACTAAAATGGTATTATTCATAATTTTTTTATTGGCAACAGGTGTTACATTTCCTCTGGTGTGAGTAATTTCATTAACTAGAAATATTTGTATAGTTAATTTTTTTTCTTTTTGAAAATGTATTCAGAACAAAGTATCTTAATTCTATAAATGTATCAATCCTATTGTTAAAGCATAGAAAATCTAGGGACCTGAATGTTCCAAGACGGTGTCATAAAAAAAAAAAATTCTTTACAGTTCATATTAGCATAAGGTGGGAAGAAAATAACCACATTGCAATATTTTATACAGGGCAAAAGTGTATTATCTGGAGGCTTAGATGCTTTGGAATTTATTGGGAAGACAACCATGAATGTCCTTGCAGAAAGCGATCCTGGATTTAAGAGAACCAAAACACTGATGGCAAGAACAGTTTCTCTATCTCAGGTTGGATTTCTTTAAATACAGCTCTGTCAATGCAGCTTCAGAGTCTTTTTCCAGAATTTCAGATGCCTCAGGGAGACACTTGCTTTATTGCAGAAGATACTGGCTAGGCTTATGGAAATAAGTATTATGCTTTATATTTGCTCCACTTACTTTTTTTTTTCCCCCACAGAACCACAAAAGATAATGTAAAATCATCTTTTCTGCATAACCCCATGTACAATAGCTGGTTTTAATAACATAGTATAGGTAGTGTTAAATCATTACACTCTGTAGACACAATCTAATTGTTGGTGTTGTTCTAACAGCTGTAGATAGATATCATCCAGCATAAACATCACTATACTACTTTCCTTGGAAATGAGTAATACTGGAATATGACATATATTTCACTAGGAATTAAAGCTGTGAAAAGTTATATCTTAATGTCCATTTAAATTAATGGTACCTTTACACAGTCATGACTCATATGTTTAAAAGTACAGAGACAAGATAAAAACAGAAGTATAAGTGCTGTCAGTGCAAAATAATTTTAGCTCTCTAGACAGTGAGAGGAGTGGAAATCAATAGACATTGAAAAAAACTTTAATTTTACTACATGTTTACTTCCTTGTAGAGAGGAGTAAGGTATTTTTCTTCTAATGAGATGTTTCATCTTTAGTGCTGGTCGTTTTAAGTGTAAAAAGGCTGACGTTGTAGTAGGCCAAAATTCTTGTTAAGGCCCACCGGGTTAAAATGAGCTTTTGATAATACCTTCCTAAACAATATGCATGAATCCACACATAAAATGTGAGGCAGAAAGTGACGTAAATCAGTTCTCATGGCTTGAATAACACAGTGTTTCCTTTTCGATGATTTGTACATAAAACTTTGTGAGTGATCTTTAGAAGGTGGAGACTGAAAAATCTGCCATCATAAATCTTTTGTAACAAATGAATAACTGAAGACAATATTGTAGAAATTCTGAATAGTGTGTCAAGAATTCACCTTTATTCAGAGGCTTATATGTGACTTCAGATGCAGTTCACATTATTTAGCAGCTTTACTGTAGCAAATTCATACAAGAGGGCATTCCTTCCTGGGAATAGAAGAAAGGAATAGAAGATCCTATTCTATATTCTATCCTTCTTATACACTTCTGTTAGCGTATAAGAAGATCACTCCAAAATATCCCCAAGTATATGGAGTATAGTTCCGTCCCACCTTTGGTAGAAGTCATACCTTATTAGGCCAATCTCTTTTGTCAGTCCTGTTGTCAGATAAAACAGACTTTAGTATCTGCAAAAAATATTTTATAGGAAATATTTATGTATTTATACTTGCATTATTTATGCAAGTAGGTTGGTAAGTCCTGAAAATAATATTCTTCCCATTTTGTGGTCTGTGGAATGGGTTGCAGGACTCTTTAAGGCTGTATATGAAATAGTCCTTTTAATTCTGTTTTCATTGTAATCGGTGGCTAGATTTATTATATGGTATCCACAGCTGACATTGCTTTTGAGAACATAAGCAAGATTATTTGTCTGTTAGTTGTTTTTTTTTTTTTTAAATGGTTAGCAATTACCATTGGGAAAATCACTCTTAGAATACTACTTAAATATTTTATTAGAGAAGTTTATCAAAAAAGAAGTTAGATGTTTCACCTCTAAATTTTCAGCTCTGCAGGTGTGGTATAATCCCAAATCTTACTACTACTTCCTAGACAGGCAGAAGCAGAAAGTAATAAAATCTGTCATACCTACAGCACTACCAATAAAACAACAGGAATGATGTATATTTTTGCAGCTGTTGCGAGAAGCTAAAGAAAAAGAGAAACAGAGGCGGGCCCAGCAAGTTACAGTTGAAAGAACAGCACATTATGGACTACTTTTTGATGAATTCCAAGGTTTGTCTCATCTTGAAGCTCTGGAAATCCTGTCAAATGAAAGTGAAACTCAGGTACAGTATGCAGCCAGCATAAATCAAAATGGTTGGTAAAAAATTAATCTTTACATTAATTTCACTCTGCAGGTGCGTGTGGAATGAACAGTAAGTTTTCCATCAACTTCTGAGAAAGCTGGATTGGTTCCACGGGCCTGTCCCTTGTCTTCAGGAAATCAATCTCAATACACCTAAAATTTAACTCCAAAATTAACTCAAAACAAACAACTTCATAACTGAAAGTTATTTTTGTGAGGACCATATACAGTGTGTATTTTTCAGCTGTGACACTATGCGGATGTCTTTTCAGAATTCGCAAAGAGGTTGAAGTCTTTCGCTTTTCTATCAGGCACTGGTCCTTACGTTCAGGAATTCCAGACCTACTACACCTGGAGGCTAGTGAACTAGCTTCTGAATCTGAATTCCAGATTACTTATTCAATTCCTAAGCCTTCTTTATTGTGTTAATTTTTAAACTTAAAAAAACTTTTAAATCTACCCCCTGTGTTGTGGTTTAACCCCAGCTGGCAACTAAGCACTACGCAGCCGCTCACTCACTCCTCCCCACCTTATCCGGTGGGATGGGGAGGAGAATCAAAAAAAATAGGTAAAACTCATGGGTTGAGAGAAAGACAGTTTAATAGGACAGCAAGGGAAGAGAGAATAATAATAATGGTAAAAGAATATACAAAATAAGTGATACACAATACAATTTCTCAGTACCTGCTGACCAATGCCCAACCAGTTCCGAAGCCGCAGTGCCCCTCAGGCACTGAATTCTGCCTGTGCTCTTTTTGCCTGCTGTCTTCACCCAAGCAATCCCAAAGTACTTATTACAGTTTGCAATTAAACCGTAGATTTATAATTCAAAACTAATGTTCTGGGAAGAGGTAGAGACCTGATGATCTTGCAAGGCTGGTGTAATTTTTGTGATACTCATTTTTTTTTTGTTGATGAGAACTAAAGATGTGTCTACATTGGAAGGTTAGACACAAGATTTGAGCACAATAAAAGTTTCCATTTCTTAGCCTATTTTAGTATCAGGTTCTAAATTGGCAATTTAAGAAATGCTGTGTTTTGGTTAGGAATGCTTACTATACTTTCTTTTACAGATTCAGTCATATTTAGCAACACTTGATGGAGAGCAGTTGGAGACTGTGAAAAATGATTTAATTGCTATAAAAGAGATTTTTATTCCAAAGGAGTCAGATGATGAAGTGGTGCAGGCACAGAAAGGTAATTAGAAATACAGACACTTAACCATACATATGAACAATTGTCACTTCTGAATATAGTAATTTTAAAAATTACAATCCAAACTATAATTTTTCATATCCTTTTCATAAGGAAGTCACTAAAATTAGTACTGTAAAAGTTCTGAAAGCTGATCAATGCTTAATTTTGAATTTATATTGTAACTGAAGTGTGAGACACCGAAAATATAACGTAAGGAAATATTATATTACTTTGCAATATTATCAGTGAAAGCAAAACACAACTGAAGAATGGAAAATAATAACCTTTTGGATAACTGAGGTTTTCTTACAGAATCTGTTTATGAAGTTGTGTAATCTGAAAGTTTTGGAGTGTTCGGCAATGCTTTTCTCTTTAGCAACTTCATCCTCACTTTGCACCCTCCCTTGCTAGCTAAGGAAAAGATTTGAGTGTAATAAAGGGACTTAAGAACCCTGACCTTTTTGAAGGAAAGTCACTTTGAAACATGGTGGCAAAGCTGCTTTCTAGGTATTACTCGGCAAGATGTGACATGTGCAGTGTGAGAAGTTAAAGCAGAAGCAGCGTGCTGTAACTATGACATAGTGCAAAGCATTGAAGAGAATGGGACCAGTATGACAGTCCACAGATCAGCTCACAAAAGTTACAATAAAATGTGTACCTCCTATGGTTAGAGGCAAAATAGGTGTCTTAAACAGGTCAGGAGTTTTGGCATTCACCAGAACAGGCTGAGAACAGAAGGGTAAGAAGTTAGCTTAAAGCCACCATAGTTCATGTCTCCAGGCCTGTGAGATCTGTACCGATAATAGAGCAATCCCCTTGACCTGACTGAGGACCAGCTCGTGCCATTAAACACCACATTGTTGTGTTTCAGAAATACAGAAACATAAAAAGATACTCCACATCCTCTTGATCTTCTCAGGGGTGCTTTGCCCATAAAACCTACATTTTGCAAGATGGTGAGGTATGATTTCTCTAGCCTTCAGAAAAGTTAGAAAAACTGTGTTAACATCCACATGTTTTAACTGGAAAGTCTTTTCTGCTGAGACCGCTCTTTCTAGCAGTGCTTACTCAGTATGCCTGATTGTCTCTCACAGGTAGCTTACTGTTTCTTCTTGGGGACAGCGAGTGTTCAGTGTACAGTCGTAATATGGTAGAGTTTCTTGCTGTTGTTTTTTTTGCCCCTTGTTACTCTTTAAAACCCCACATTCCTCTGTGGGGTTGTGAGAAATAGAAGTCAAGAAAGTGTGTTATCTGCTTAAGAGTGAGGATTCATGAGATGTCTGTTGTTCCTTAATTTCTGTAGTAAATAGTTCTCTGCTTTGAAACCAGCCCCCAGGAAAAGCTCTGTTTATTGCACAAAGTGATGTTTTCTCTGTTGGTCAGAAGTTCTGTTTTTTCAGTGAGTCACAGCTGCTGATCACGTTCCTTGAAACATTAGCTGCCCTTCTAAATAGGCTGGAACCAAGGCAATGTACACCTTAAAAAAAAAAAAAAAAAAAAAAAGACAAATTCAGAGTGTGCTGCAGGTTTTCTCCTGCAAAAGCAAATCAGTCAGCCGTGAAACATATCCTCCTCTCTGTGACAACGGAAATAATAACCACATGCATGTTCCTTCCACCTTACAGCTGAATGGGTGTTACTTCAGGCTGCAGTTCAAAATTACTCAAGTCCTGTAGTGCAGTCAGGCTCCAGATCTATTAGCATTTGAACTACAGATAAATATCATACATTAGTATTAAGTTGGATAAATTTTAGTTCCACTGGAGGACAGCAAAAGAATAGAAAGGTTAATCACTTTTCAAAGTGGTTTTCTGCTAAGGCTGAGCTGACAATTCTGGGGTCAGGCTTCTGACCTGGGGTATGTGGCCTTTAACTTCTTTCTTCAGCCTCTCACCCATAATCTGTAGTGCATGCAACACTGCGTTGAGAGTGCTCTTAACAGTCTGTAGTGCTTTGACACATCCCCTCTCGATAGGTTTGAGTTGTTCGGTTTTATTTTTAAACTGGAATTGTTTACTTGACATGACTTGTTGGACCTTAAGCGTATTTCTGTGGCATAATTAATATTTACACTAAGGAAATGGTCTGTGTTTAATGTTAGCAAAAATTTTAAACATGATTTGGCATCCAGCATAGATAAAAGACAGTAAAGTTTAACAACAGGTTGGCTGATCAGAATTAAATGTAGCTCATATCTTACTGCGAAGAGAAGACTTGTGGTCATAGCTCAAGTTTGTGTTCTTAGCTCAAGCTAGTTAATACAGTTAAGGTCCTGTTAAGCACATTAATAGGTTTTACACTTAAAAAATCAAGTCAGTAAGCCGTATGCTCTTTTACTAGCATACTTTTTATTACAGAATGACATATTTTCACTTAAGCTAGCTAATCTAGCAAGAGGTACCGGGCTATGCTAAATTCTGTGGAGGAATTTTGAGTTTTAAACCTGCTTGCTAAACAGGTTAAAGCTACATCTAACTTCCCTTCAGTAGGATTTTAATTTGTGCGTCCTAGCTCAATAAAACTTGTGGTTTTTTCTTTTATGTAAGAAAGCCACCTCCCTACAAAAGACAGAGATTAACTAATGGTGTTTGAAAATGTTAAATTTTATGTAGGCACTGAGCAGTATTTGAAAACAAGTTAATTAGCACTTATTGCTAATTTGTTCCAACTTTCTCATTATCAAAGTAATATTTTTATACAGCGTCATTTGTCAGTGCTATATGGATTCAGGAAAAAAAAAAATACTAGCTGGCAGGAAAGCCAGTACTTCGCATTCAAGTGTTTCAAGAGGGTGGCAGTTTGTTTTATGTAAACTCTCAGGATCCCTTCTTATCCTAGACTCTCAGAATCTCGTTCAGAGATGTTAGTGCTGCTTTTAGTTTCTACCATAAACACTTTCAGTCCTACACAATGAGAAATTACTGCAGTGGTCTTCGGAGGACTTCTTGGGAAAGGATTGGGACTAGGCTTTGTTCTTGGCAACTTTGAAACTGGAATCATAGGTTTTTTGCATCTTTGCTTAACAGTCAGATAGGTGCAAAATCAATACGAAAAGATAGAATGGGAAAAGATATTTTCTGACAGAAGTAGGAGAAAGCCAAATGCATACCGTTCTCTGATGTTTCCTCTCACTTTGATTATGCAGCCCTTTCATGTATTTTTCACTGCAGCTTCTTTTCCTTTCAGTTGTTTATGAATTAGTGAGAGGAGAATATCTGAGAAAGTAGCTTCACCTACATTTTGAAAGCCATTAACACCAAAAATTTCATATGTGAGGTTAAGGGAGATGGTAACCAAAGCGAGTATTGAATCGAATATGCCAGTTATCAACAATTTTGCTAATATTGCATTGATCCAGTAAAGTGCTTGTCAGTTTTCAGCATGCTGCAGTTTATAAAACAATTTCGCATAATTTAAAGAAGTGAATTCAGTGTATCCAAGAGGTGTGCTGTACTGCAAAACCTGAAAATCCTATTGCCAAAATTTAATGATAAAGGCACCAGTGAAATAAACCCTGTGCATCTCTTTGGCCTTCCAGAATATGTTCTTCTTGACCTGTTCCCCTGCTATTAAGAGGGAAGTTCAGTCTCTTGGTCCTTGCAGGTGAAGAGTTCTTCGTACTAAATGCTAATTTATTTTATAGCACCAAAGATGGGCACTCTTTTTACAAGCCAGGATGAGATATCCTTTGCTCTAGAAGATTATAATCTGAGTGTCAGATTCCACCACCTTTGCCCATGTTGCAAGGTCCTGTGTACTGTAACCAGTTCTACCAAAATCCCCAAACTCACTGGCAAGTAATGGCCCTCCACCGTTAAGCCCAGTACTGAAGATTTGCATAAAAATGGAAAAACTGGCCCTACCTAATAAATGGACAAAAAAGGTGGTAATACAGTAAGACATAAAAGTAATTTTTGAAGCTGGACTTTTATCAGGCTCAGTAGGGGGACTTTGACCTTTTAGTGCAATCAGGCTAAAAAAAGTGGATTTGATATATTCCACCAGGGAATGTTAACGAAGATTCCAAACTCAGTAACTGCAGATGGACAGAACCAACGAAAATACGAATTTTTAGGAACTTAGAGCATGTTAGAATATGGCAACTATAAGGAGTCAAAGGAATATATATATAAAATAAAGATGAAGTTTGAATACTAGTGATATTTATCTTTGCTAATAACATAAGTGCAGATTCTTTAAGGCTCATTACTCCAAAGCAAAACAGAAAACATTCTTCATTTATACAAAGCTTAATCTTAAAATAGAAAGAAAACACAGCTTTTAGCTGTCGTTTGCAGACAGAGCAATAGAGAACATCTTTTCCAGTATGTTTCCTCGAAACTTACTTGTATCTGTTTCTGCTGCTGTTTTTATTCCTTGGTTTGAAAGAAGTGGGTAGTATCTCTTCTTTGGTTATTTTGTGGGTCATGTATTTTTGTCAGATAACTAAGCATTATTCAACATCTTCTCCTCTTACCTGTTTTTATGAAACTTGGTGGAATTTAGAACAGGGTGGAAAGAGTAGTCAAAGTGTCAAGCTAGCATATCTGGTTGTACAGGTCTCTCTGTTGCTTTTTCACTTCTTCATTTGAGCATATACACACACACACACCCCCCTCCCTTTCTTGTATCACTGTCAGTGTTTTTCAAGTGCTAGAGTGCTTGGGGAAATTATTTGCCTGGATGTACTTGATCATGCAAAATGTTATAGTGATAACACCCTAACAAAAATTAATCTTGTTTTTTCTTGCAGGAGATATGGGAGAAGAGTTTGTCAGCATGCTCACTGAACTACTGTTTGAATTGCACGTTGCTGCTACTCCTGACAAACTTAATAAGGTTAGCACCTGTTAAGTGAGCTCCCCTCTGTGTCTTGGACAAAGAGGGAGGGCTTTATTCTGAAATCTGCCACACGGCAGTACCTAGCTCAGTTCAGACAGTTCAGGAAGCAAAGAACAGGACAGTGGGATTAAAAGGATTCGTATAGAAAAGCTTTCATAGCAGCGAGATTGGTAAGGCAATACAGTTGCAATGACTAGCTAGCACAGTGGGCCGTGTTAGAAAGCCTTGAACCAGGGATGTCTCAGTGGAACAGAGTTCATGAGCACAGCAGATTTGGTCCTACATACTGGGAACAAAGGTCGGGTTCAGAATTGTTTTTTCTTGCTCATCGTGTCTATTCTTCTGAGGGACTTCTCCAGACCTCAGTTAGAAGCAAAGTCTTTGGTTTATCTCATCTAGCTTCAGTCACCTAAAGGTTAGATGGCTAGAAGCTAGTCACATCACTATCACATTTTTACTGTCAGGCCCCTTTAAAGGTGATTCACCTGCTGATCTTAGACTTAGATCTTAACATATTTTAATTTGATTTCATGTTAAAAAAGATAAATTTCCTACTAACCATAACAGTAATCTGAAGTTGTATAAAACTTCAAGGCTTTTCCACTTTGATCTACTTTCATGCCTGGGAACGCAGCTGAAGACACAGTGATTTTCTATTTATTTTTCCTTTAAGAATTTAGTACATCTCTCTTACTTCCCCAGTATTATTTTTTTCATTTTTTTATACCATCTTCTTGATTTTTATTTGGGAAAATTATTTCCATGTAAATTCCTTCGAAAGATACTTCATAAAGTTGAAATGTTACTAAATGCCAGCTCTGTGTGTTTGTTAGAAATATCATCCTGTAGAGGAATTATCTCTGCTGATCCATATTTATGTAGTCATAAATACTTCTCCCTACAGTTTCTTAAATATATACTTAACTAAATGCCACCCAGAGACTTGATACGTTTAAACTTTTGAATGTAAAAAGGAATTGTTAATTAACATTCAGCAACATCATTTGATATTTCCTATTTGAACTGAAGTTTGGGGTTTTTCTTTGTTTGGCAGGCTAGGAAAAAGGCTCATGAATGGCTTGAAGAAGCCAGTTTTTCCACCTCAGTAGACATAGAAGAGAAGCTAAAAGAAAAATCTGGAGAACCTGGTGAAGAAAAGACTGAAAAAGAAGATAAAATTGACAGTGATAAAACAGAAGTAAATAAAAACAAAACTGTGGAGGTAAAATAGCTTTTGGAGTATAAGTTTCATTTTTAAAATTGCCATACTTTGATAAGTTTACTTCTTTATGTATTGGTTTTATATGTTGTCCTTATTTTTTAAACTCATGGAAGTATTAAGAAATATTAATGTATAGCTACTCACTGTAGACCCAATAGGAAACTAACTTAGACAAATATTTTTACTGTTAGTCTGTTCCCAAAAATAAGTAGCAGGTCCTCTCCCTGTTGCATTGTTTTTATTTTTTTATATCTGTGTTTCTGTGTGTATGCATGTGTATACACAACATACAGTGAGCTAAGGGATTCTGTGGTGTAATTTCAATGGCACATTAAAAGTCCTATCTCAACATTCCTTGGTGTCCTTTTCTCCCAGTGGCATTACATGGAAAAAATTCTCAAACTTTATTTAAACTCTTAAAGTTTACATCACAAATAGACAAAACAGAAATTTTATTTGGGCAACTCACAAGTGTTAGTTCTCTTTATGAAAGATAACACTTAAGGCTAAAAGTATTGTGTCCATTTAGACAGCCCCTCTTGTTGATAAGATTGTGATTGAATATTTTACACCAAGTTATAACAATGTTAAATGTGGTTGGTATCAAGATTTTTTGAATGAGTTCAAACAAAGAAATTATCTGTCATGTTTCCTTGCAAAAAAGGTCCAAAGAAGGAAACAGCATTACACTGTATATATTACAGATTTTTATGTGATTGCAGATTTCCAGCTGGCATCAGCTTGTGAAAGCTGAATTGCCAGAGTGCTAGGTAGAATTTTTTATCACTGCTGATAAAACCCACTTTTTTATTGGGAGAATTATCCATTTCTACTCTGGAGAGTCCATCTGAGGGATGACTCAATAATTTTGGCTCCATATGAAAGTAATTATGACTTAGGCCAGAGTTAAGCATCTTTGTGTTTGTTAGGACTGGGTTTAACAGTGCTATTTTAGAAAATCCGAGAGCTTGACCTACTTCTCATCCAAATAAATGGTAGAGTTGTTCTTACTAATTTTCAAGGATGAGCGTAAGGTCTGTATTTTATAATCTGTGGATATTTCATTTTCCAGTATTGTTTGTGAGGATGACATTACGGCTGATATTATTTCACTATGTATGTGGCAGTATTTCCAGGTGTGGTGGGGAGGGGTTCTATGTTTCAAATTCTGTTGTACGTATATACCTATATGTGTATTTATCAGCGTTGTTCTTATTTATTATATTTTTCCCTGTTTTAAATTTAAGGAAATCTATATGCTGTCCATTGAAAGTCTGGCTGAGGTAACTGCTCGTTGTATTGAACAGCTTCATAAAGTAGCAGAATTAATTCTGCATGGGCAGGAAGTAGAAAAAACAGCTCAAGATCAAGCAAAAGTACTGACGAAGTGAGTATTATGTACTTCATATATGAACATTTGATATTTACTTAAAACTCATGAAGATCCATTCAGCTTTTGGCACGTCAAGGCACAGTAAGTTTATGTATCAACAAACAGCATTAGCTTTAGGGATCCTAGTGCTATATTTTCTCATATAATCAAGTTACATAGGCTATCTGTCATTTTTTTTACATGGCTAACATAGTCATGTTTACAAAAACATGACCTATTCACAGGCTGGAATTTGTTTCTGCCCCAGCAAGTGGATGTATATGCTCATTTTGGATGCATTTCCTGTCGCCTCTGCAGAAGATCCTGTGCTAGCATGTACAGAATTTGCTTTTAGAGTGCATAATGCAGTATCTGCCAATAGAGTTTCATTATCTAGTGTTTATCTGCCAAAACATACAAAAATCAATCTGTAGTTCTAAGCAATAACACCACATTTGTTAGCAACTTTGTAGTAAACCACGACAAAACATAAATAAATTCAAGAAGCTAATCTGGTGGGATTCAAAATTCAGATCTCAAGCTCTCTGTAGTAGTCGATTCTACTGATTTCAGTGGGTTTTGACGTTAAGATGTTGTAAGCACTTGAGTCCTAAGTGAAGTATTTAAGCAAGTGTTTATCCATAGGAATGTTAGTCTAAACAAAGGAACACTTCAGTCTAAAACAAAGTACTTGAACAAGTATTTTTCAGAATTAGAACTAAGGTATGGTGCACCTTGCAGGATGAGGTTCTATATGATGCACTTGTGACTGTTTAGCAAAACAGTGAAAGATGTAGGAATAGAACTAGATCTCCTTGTTCTCTTGTATTTTAACCACACGGGCACTTCCTCTTTTGGTACAGAGTAGATGTTTTATTGCTTAAATAGGAAACTTCTAACTGTTATCATTAAAGTTTGATTTATTTCCAAGAGTATTTCTAGGAGTTGTGTTGTTGCAATCATCAGAAAAAAAATAGTTAAAGTAGAAGCTTAGGATTTTAAAAATCTAAACATTGCCCTATCAAGAAAGGCTAGTGTTTGACCCACCATGACATCATTTTCTGCTGTAGTCAGCAATGGATTTTTCAGTGGAGGAATAGAAAAATTGTATCGTGAACAGAGTCTACTCCAAAATATTTTTTAAATTACTAGAAGCAAAATTGCCTTAAGAACATACTTGGCTTCCAAGATTAAGTTTGTGGCTGGGACAGTCATAGGGGTTTTATCCATTGACAGGACAAGGATATATTTTTATATTTGTCTCTCTTTTTTTTTAAACCAGTTTAACAAGTGCCATGTGCAATGAAGTTTCAACTTTATCAAAGAAGTTTTCCGATTCTTTAACAGCAGCTGGGGTAAGATAACAGCATTTTCCGTAGCATTTGGGCTTTTTTTAACATAAAGAAATTATTACCCAAGTCTGGTGGCTTTACATGATGTACCAGCAATGAGAGCACATCTTTCCTCAGATCAAGAACACAGAGCTTCTTTACAGCAGATTCCCTGTTGCAGAGAAAGTTTATAGCCTTGATAGACTGCAGTGTGTCCCCTGCCTTCTAAAATCTCTTTTTCTAGACACCATTTCCCATTTTTCCTGATTACCACTCAGAACTTCTTACCTTCTCGCACTGAAAGGGCCTCATATTTGAAGTCCCACAACTTGATATTTTTTTCTCCTACTCAGCCTATCCCTTTTGAATGCATTTGTGTAAAAGTCATCAAGAGATAACACCTCCAGTACCTTAAGATGGTTTCACAAGCTGTCTTCTTAGCCTTTGCTAAATCCCATGGTCCAGGGCCGCCGTGTTTTCAAACCGTTTAAGAGATTAGAAAACCTGTTTGGTCATCCATCTTAAAAAAAAAAAAAAGACTCTGTCTTGTATCTCAAGATATTCCATTGAGGAACATCCATTTATGTGTGAACATCTTTGCTAGAAATAGCATCCTGCCTTTCAAGATGTTTCAAAGATGACTGACATCTGAATATTCTATCAGGATCCGGAGGCAAAAATTGTGCTGTTGCTGAAATCGTTCTGTAAATATCAGAGAACAAACTCTGGCTCCCCTGTTCACTTCATGAAAACGTGAATGTACATCAGAGGAAATTTTCCCAGTTCTTCCCAGATGAGCTTTTCCAGCACATCTCTGAGCAAGTTTTTTCAGAGTTATTTGTAGAGAACATGATTTATTGGGTTGCTTTTATTCCGAGTAATTGACATTTCTTCCCATTACTGTGGGAGAAACTGCTTATTTTGCATTTTGGGATTGGATTTTAGCATATCTCTGTGTGACATTTGCAATAAATACATGCACAGACATATAAAAATAAATTGCACATGAAATATTAAGCTGGCCCAGCTCAGAAAATTGGAAACTAAAGCTTTCATAAGCATTGCACTAGGGTTTGTTCTTACCAACTCTGTGCTTGGTTTTTAGAACCAGATTGTTTTTGTGGACATTTTGTGTGGACACATAAGAAATTGAGCACAAAGACACTTGTCATTGCCAAAATACTCTCTAGAAGAGAGTTTTAGTAGGGCAGTCTGTTGATCTTTATGTGCTGTCCTACCCCTGTAAGCTTTTGGAGGAAGATGTGGGCCTTCTGCTCATCATGATCAGTAGCATCAGGAGCACCTGTCACACAGGACTGTGGAAAATCTACATCTTCCCGCATGTCCCAGTGGTTCAGCTTCGTCCTTAACCTGCCAACAGCACCTGGGTTCACAAACACATTCCAGTATCCTGCTAAGTGCCTTAACTCGTGGGAAACTAAGAAATTACTTAGAACAGAAAATACTGGGTTTTTTCAAACATAATGCCATCCCTATAGTTATATCTGTATAATTCAGACATTAATTGTAGTGCTGGCTGTACACGTAGTCTGTAATGTTGGCAATGTTTCTGAGTGAGCAGTAATGCAGAAGTAAGAAATAACAGCTTTGCTTGCTATGCAAGATTTCTTTCAAACTTTAACTTATCGATTCATACAATCAATAGCGTTTAATTGATACTGCTGTCTATCTGTTTCAGTTTATTGACAATCAACTAAACAGTGCACTTTGTAGTGGATTTTCCAGTAACTGACAGTAAAATTGCTCTTTTCTCTAACCATCTTCCATTCGTTCTGCCATCTTTCTCCAAACTAAAATTAAGGTGTTTCATGTTTCTTTAAATCTGTAATAGGAAAGCTCCAAGGCTCTAAGTGGAAATACTTCAGTTAAATTAATCAGTATGGTGTTTCCTTTGTTCTAATAAATTCCACCATTTGGTATTGAAAAAAAGCAACTCTTGCTGGAGGTTACTGTCATTCTGAAAAAACACAATGCGAAGAACAGCGAGAATAAAAAAAGGAAAGAACTTTTGCCATTTTAAAAAGCAGAAGAGCTGATGAATCTTGGTTTTCTAGCCTCTAGTAGTGTCACTACTCATTGTACCCACCTTTATTCCTGTCTGGTGGTTGAGAAAAATGTTATCCATGCTGAGCTATGTTTACTGGCCGGCCTGCGTTGTCCAGCTCAACATATACTGCCTCCAGTTTGGGGATCTGAGTTTCACCTGTTCTTCCTTCTGTAGGGGAGCTAATCTCTGCCTTTCGTTTCCTCCACAGATACATGTGAAGCTTCTTAGAACTTCATTTTCCTTCTGACCTGTATTTTTCCTTCTTGTTTCCTTGAAAACGAGCAAGGAGTTAAAAAGAATTGGGGGAGATGAAAAGGGCACTGACAAACAATTTAATCGCATAAATCTCACATCCATAGGAAACCAGGCAATTTGAAACTGTCTGGTAGATGAATTAATGAAAAAGTAAAACCTTGGGCCCATCTTAGTTCATGGTACTCAGTGATAGAAATACGTAGGGTCTACTGAAATGTGTATGAAATGTAGACGCAGTTATCAAGAATACTGAGATAAACAGCCTGAATAAGAATCAAGGTGAAGCAAGACCTTTGTAGAATTCATAAAACCACTTCTCAGATAAGCAGTATATTTCTATTAAATGTATTTCTTGTCCTGGCATTTCATTCTGTTTTCTGGTTTACAGAGCAGTATGAAGGCAGAGGTTCTTAACCCCATCATCAACAGTGTGCTATTAGAGGTAAGCCTTTGCTTTTTTCACATTAGGAAATGTTCTAGTAAAATGATTCTGAAATGAAATAGTCACATTTATGTCTGAAGAAAAACTATATAAAAAGTAATAACAATATCATTCTGGCTGTTCAGTGCCAGCTCATAAACCTCTCATTTTTGTGTTCAGCCTCTCCCACAAATACTGTAGTGGTAATACTGCATTTACTGAGGATTCTTAAGTATGACTGAAGTGAGACTGGCCAGCTCTTAAATTCTGCTGCTGTATTGATCAGAGCACAGCAGACAATTTGCAGGGTGCTGTTTAGCCCTCTTCTAACCTATTCACAAGCTGCCTGGGATAAGTCTATTCTTACTGATCTGTTACCTGTTTCAAATATTGCAAAGTATTTCTGATTTACAGATAATTTCAGACTACTATTTTCTTTAAAATTTGAGTTACAGGTATGCTACAGTGCTTCCCATCCATGGGCATTTAGAGTTCTACAAAGATTCACAGTCTAGCAGCAGGCTTGGTCAGCACATGGATAACCGTGTGTTGGGCATCACCAAAATGTTCATGAGTGATTTCTTTTATTAGACACCATGATCTATGAGTCACCTCTTCTATTAGACACCATGAGCTATTTTTCATCAGAAAAGCACAGTGAGTAAAATGTGCCTCAGTTTTACCAAGAACAGGTCAAGAGGGAGTAATACGCTTATAAAGTACTAAAATGTGTACAGTCTGCAGCATTGGATTCTTTAACTCTGGTAATTAGATCACACTTCTCTTTAAATGTAAATAAACATATAGTAGTGACTACAAATTGTCATTCTGTGTCTAATAGCTGTGTTCCCTTAAAAATGAGGAAAAGATTGGTTTACAATATCAATTTTGCACTGAATTAACAATACCTTTAAGAAAAATCACAGAAAGTTGACTAGAGCCATCGTAAAGATTACTGTACTGTTCCTTTTGTTATAGGGTAAATTTGCTGTCGCAGCTGATGTATCTTTCTGTGCTCCACGAATTGCAAAATCTGGGAATGGCCAGAATTGTGGAATACAATGTTTTGTACTTCTTACATCCCATATTTGTGTACAAATATGTGTTAGTACAGCCTAGGTTCACGGAGAATTACAAGCTGCTATACCATTCAGTATTAGAAATTCCAAAAATAGTACTAGGTGTTAAAACCATTATGATAATTCAAACTGTTAATTTCAGTGACACTTCTTCCACCTACAGCAAATTCAAAATTAGTTCTGTTGATGGAAAAACTAGCTGGTTTGTATTTAAAAAGTCAAATTTACTTCTTAACACTGCAGCATTTTATTCTACTCACATTACAAACAAAACTGTCCAAGAGCTCAAACTGAGGAGAAATCAGATTTCTATATAGTGATTCAGGCTATCCTTGTTAGCTCTAAACTGTTGTAATTTATCATTTTTGTTATCTACAGATTCTAAAATCTCATGTGAATACATATGCTAATGTAGCATGATGCAGATGTAAAAAAAAAATTTTTTTTTAAATATAGTGTAATTCCTGAAGTACATGACAGCTGTACTGATGAACCCCATGTTTTCTCTCCCCATTAGGGTTGCAACAGTACTACTTATATCCAGGATGCTTTCCAGCTATTGCTTCCAGTTCTGCAAATTTCACATATCCAGACCAGTTGTTTGAAAACACCAGAGTGACAGTTTCCCAGCAGTTGTCACCACGGGGCTTAACAGAAACCACAGACCTAATGCCTTTAATGTATGCAGATAGAAGAGATGCCATGAGAAATGTCTGGCCACTTAGAGTCCTCTGAAGACACTAAACGCGGTTTTGCACATACAATATTGAACAACATTTTAAAACTCTTCCAGACTTTTAGACTTTAGAAGTAGTTAGTAAAGTGAGTAATTTCTTTGCCATTGGAGTATATCCTTTGCATTAATTTAAACTGAAGTTTATTGATATGAGCATTGACCTAAATACGGATTCTAAATGTTGACCCTTTCAGTTGCAGACAATGTGTGAAGCAAATTAGAATATAAAGTTTTTAAAAACATTTCAGCCCGAATGACCATTTCTATTGTTTGCATCCTAATTGACAGTTAAAAATGTGTATTTTAAAAGTTGGTTTCAGTATTTAATTTTAGCCAACATGAACAAATTATCATAATGTTGTGCTTGTTAAATATTTTTTTACAGTAGCAAGTAATAACATCATAATTATATGTACCACTTACATAACACTTTGCATTGAGAGAGTTGTACAGTAACAGGTATTAACTTTACTAAATGAAAATAATGGTCAAAGAATTTTGTCCATATACTGAAAAGAAATACTGAATACTGAAATAGAAATACTCAATACTGAAAAGAAATTTTCTGAGCCAGTTAAGGGTACGGGTAAAGCTCTATATTTGCTGACCCATAATTTTATATTCATTTATGTCTATTTCTTTATTCCAACAGCTGAACAACATTGCAGGCAAAGGTAATCTTTTTAATATGCCAGGAATGGAAAATTTCCCTTTTGTTTGGCAATTGAAACACCCCCAAAATAACCTCCTCTCAGATGCCTTACCAGGTTAGCACTTTGGGGTTTAATTTGGGCTTTAAATGTTTTGAACCTTTTTATCAAATGGGGTTACTGATACTGGTTGTGTCAGTTACTGATACTGGCGTTTCAGAAATACAGGTTTTGGGCATAGAAAAGAAGTTGTGAAAAGAAGTTACAAGAGATTTGCTTTGGGTGAGGAGGTCATATGTCAGAGCAATCACCTTTTCTCCAAAGAGGTAGCTAGACAGAGCGTAACTGAGCAGCAGGAATGACGTTTCATAATAACACTAGCAACCGTGATAATTTGTCTATATCCTTAGCTTAAAACCCTGAGCTGTGAACCTCAGAATTTGCTTAGGCTAGTTTACCTCATAGGCAGGAAGAATCTTCCAGTGGTTTTTGTAGCCTGTTCTCCTGGATTTTCATTGTTTCTTACATTTCTTTCAGCTATTTTGTATTTTTTTTCTCTTGATACACTCACTAGTTGTATTTAAATGCTTTTTCATTGTAGTTGACATCTGAATATGTTTAATCATAGAAGCATAGTTCATACATCATAAAGATAATGAAATAGAGCATGAGGAAATACTATCCTGTTTGTTTAGAAAAGAGAAACCATGAAACCACGTGTCCGCTTTGCACATGGTAACTTTTTTGAGTCCAAGTAAAAGAGGACAGAAAGGTCTGTGTCTTACACTGTTGTGGTCCCTATTCTGCTGTCACACACATTGTAACTTTTTCATCTGTTATTATTTGGAGATGAAATTTTCACTATCCCTGAAATAAGGTTGATTATGCAAAATCTGTTTTCTGCCACCCTGTAATTTAACAGGTTTGAGATATCTTTCTGGTTAAGTAGAAGGGGTACAGTCTTCAAATCCACTTGCACACAGTGTAAAAAAAACCCAACAGCTTACGGCAATATGAACAAAAATAAGCAAGCCCCTTGGCAGCTGAAAAGGCAAAGAAAGCTTGACATTCATTGGTGTTTATGTCACAGTGAACAGCTAACATTACCTCAACCCAGGAGAAAGCAGGATGCGGGAAAATGCAACCAGTGAGCAGACTCAGTAGCCCAAAGGTAGGATGCAGCTCCCACCGGCCGTTATATTCACGACACTTCTCTCTGGCATTGCTTTATTTCTGAAAGCACCTTTTCAAAAGCGTATTACAAAATAACATTTAGCTGATGCAAAGCATTTCATCTCTGCCTTCTACACTTTGGCGGGAATAAGCAGACTCTTCTCCAGTAGTGCTGGCTGGCTGCTGGAAGAGACAGATGCTTGTACGTGCTTGACATGGGGTGATTCCTGTACACACACTTTGACCCAGAAGAACTCCTCTGGGGATTACTGAGGACCACATACTTGCTCCATATACTTGATCGTGTTCAGTTTTCAGTTTTAAAGATCTGGACACCAGTGAAAGCACTCAGTAGCTTGTAAAAAGGTTTATTTGTTTCAGGATTTTTTTTCTGTTGTTCTCTGCTGGCAAGCAGAATGTAATACCTGGTTAAAAGCTGCTTTATTTTTCAAACAAAGACTGTCAAAAAAAGTCTCATCTTTTCACCTGTCAATCATTACATCCTGGATTTATTTTTACTTTAATTTGATCATTATTTTTCATCAAGAAGCCTTTCTGTCCACATTGGAGTAGAACTCTGCATCAGGTGTCTGTAAACATCTGCCAAATGAATCATAGAAAATAGCAATAGCTGTTTCGTATTGTTCCTATGCCAAGTTTATATTTTCAGATATAAATGGATTTAGTTACTTTTTCATATGGATCTTTTTTTTTCTCTGAAATGCAGTGCAGAACATGTAGCGTTAAACCTGTCAGAAAAATGTGTTGACTAATAATGATGCCTTTTAGCAGAGGCTGAACAATATAGTGTTGGAAGCCTCAGGGGATAATGTTTGAAATTGTTGAAGGGCGTTCTTAAGACAAAGATTGTTTGTCTGAGATACTCCTTACTAGAGGTTTCGCTGTGTTGCTTAAATTATGTATGTATTGAATAAAGTACCTTACCCTAAAGTAAAAGAAGCTATAAAAAATAATATGGGGACTTAAAGTATTTACATCCATATAACGTAGGAAGGGAAATAAGGCTCATATATTCTATGAGCATAGGGATACTCCATCTGATCTCAGATGCAATCATCTTGTCCTAGGTAAGCTGAATGTTATTATCTTTAAGTCAATTTTAGGTAAATAATATTTCGGTAGAAAAGTACTATGTGGATGTAACCCAAATATTTTGTTTACACTGGTTTGTATTTTTCCATCGGTCAAATAAATAATTTGAGATACTGAACTGAGACAGTATACTAAAAAGTATGTTTTGAAGAAGAATAATGTGATGGGAAGATGTACTCAGTGAAGTCTTTCACTTTCTGAGTCTGTGATTTACCTTGGGAGTAACGAGCATGATTTTACCGAGTCTGACAAAAACAGATGTTGCCTTGAACTTTGAAGGGAGAGTGTTCTTTCCTTCATGACCACTTGTTTCCAGGTCAGTACAGTGAGTGTGCCTTGGCACTTGCCAAACTACTGGGTTTTAAGTACTTATTTAAAAAATAACCTCAGTTGTGAAAATTGCCTGTTCTTTTGAGCAGATCTGTTTTTCATGGCACAGCTTTTTATGCAGAGACAAAGGAGGCAGGCTTTTGCACTCACCGAGTTGGAGAAATTTATCAAGATGAAACTTAAAACATCTGCATGACGTACAACGTTGCAGATGATCCTCTACTATAGGTCATTGCTGAAGGATGAGCTAGAAGTAAACTATTAGACAAGTCATTCACTGTATTTGTGTATTAAAGGTATTCACTTTTTTTTTTTTTTTTAACAAACAAAACAAAGCGAGCTGGAAGTTGTTTGCTGCTTTTTAGGGTATAGTCTATTCATGTGTAAACATCTCTTCCCCATGATTTGCCTCTACACTCCAGCATCCATTGCTTGAGACAGCTAAACAAAAGAACTGTCTCTTCCACTTTTTTCATGCTGCTTAGATCATCCACTGAAGCCATTAATACCTTCCTTTAGAATGTGCCTCAATCATACAATACAAAATCACAATCATTACAAGTTGAGATGCTTTTTAATGACGTTTCCCGTGTCACCCACCAGTCAGGATTCATAACGAGTTTAATGAGTCTGAAATGCTGCAGTATTTTGAGTGACAAATGCAGATTTTCACCTTTTTTTTTTTTATTCACAGAAGTGTTATCACACAAGCACTCACCCAGCTCATAGGATTATCTTTTGAGACATTCCAGTTCTATTTCAAATGACAGCCCTGTCCTTTCTGTTAGTCTCAAAAGAATGTAAAGAGTAGAAAAGGACTTTTCCTGAGTTCTTTTTAAAACCATCTCGGAGCAAGGCTTAACGTGACACCATCAGCCAGTCTGACCTACTTTGAAATTCTTGCAGTCTGACTGGAAAGCCCTCTGGACTTAAAATGCTTTTTTTCTGTCTCAGGTCAGCCTTTGTTGTTGAAGCTGCTTTTCGTGTGCGAGCTGCACATTTTCCATGCTCTGACTCCAGCTTCAGCATTCATAATACTGGCTATGGCGTGCAGTTTTAGAATTTAAAAACTGAAAATAAAATGTCAAAAACTGAGCTGTCTTAAAAAGATGGGAGAGGGGAAATTATTTTCAAAGAAAAAAAAAAAAGGATGTGCTCTGGAAATAGGAACCATTTTCAAGGTTGGATTAGAGAAAAGGTGCTCTCAAAGAATTTTCCAGCACTGTTCAGAATAAACAAGAGATGACACCTGATTAGTTCCAGCAGAACTGGAATAACGGCACTTCTGAAGTAAAACGAAAATCCACGCTAACTTGAAGGAAGGAAGTCACAGATAAGAACGTTCAAAGAGGAAGAGCTCGAAGGAAAGACGACGGCTAATGTTACCACTCTGCGTCTGCAGTGCTCATTCTCCCTGTGTTGCCTGCACACGCAGAGCCCGGAGCACGCCGCTGCTAAGAACTCCGACCTGGTCGCCCCACTTCGACCTTTTCGCAGCTTCCCTGTACACGCTTTCATGGAACTGCTCTAACAGACAAAGCAGAGTACTAGCTATTCCCTCTGCCTTTCAAACATTTTACCCAAGGAGTGGAAGAGTATTTCTTATGCAACACTACAATAATGGGTAGGAGTCTAAAAAAAAAACTGCAGCAAGGACTATTCGTAATTCTTAGTGAGCTGAATTTGCTGCTGCTGTAAAGAGGAAGGCGTCAAGACATTACTCAAACAAATGTCTGCTATTTCTCTTCCACGCTACAGGGTTGAGGCTGAAAGGCGTTTGACAAAAGGTGCCAGTTCTGGAGTCAGACAGTGTTGCCTAAATGAAGGCCAGAACATCGGGTAATTCAGTCCATTTTTAAACACCTTCAGAAGCCTTGGCCCATTTACTAGACTGGTAAACATGCAGTCCTACTCTTCCTGCCCTTGCTGATCTCAGACACCGTACCGGCAGCTTGTAGGATGCTGGCAGTCAAGGTGCCCTGTGCCTTTCCTCCAGTTCCCTTACCAGTTTTGCCAGTGTCCATTTTGCACGTTTCTACACGCTGTTGGTTCTGCCTTCCCCACCAGTTCTGTTGCCCCCACTCTCC